AGTATAATTATGTGTGTTTTCCTTGTTTAAAACATAGGTCAGGGGCTGAGAAGGTGGCTCAGTGGTAGAGAGCTTGCCTTGCATGCCTGAGGCCCTGGGTCCGATTCCTCAGCACCACATAAGCAAAAAGAGAAAAGCCGGAAGTGGTGCTATGGCTCAAGTGGTAGAGCGCTAGCCTTGAGCTGAAGAGCTGAGGGACAGCGCCCAGGCCCAGAGTTCAGGCTCTACAACCGGACCCAAAAAACAAAAAAAACCCACATAGGTCAGGACATATTGAGCCCTGCTGTGCCTAAATTCAAATATGTTGTTATCTGTGGGTTAAATTCCTGGAATGAATCTGTTAGGTCAGAGGCAGCTCACACTTTGAACTCATGGGTATTTCCAAACTACCTAGAGGAGGTGACGTTGGTGTGTGAAGGTAGTGGCAGTTCTATGCCCTTCCTGAACATTGCTGTCTTCTCACGTTTGCCAAGTCCAGGAAATAAGGTAAGGGCCTTATTTCAATGTTCTTAATGCATTCTTTTCTTTAAAACAAATTTTTTATGTGGTACTGAGGAAACAAACCCTGTGTCCCATGCATGCTAGGCAAGCATTCTACCACTGAGCCTCCTTCCCAGCCCTGCATCTTAAAATGAGTAAAGTTGACTTTTTTTTTTTGTCAATCATGGGGCTTGAACTCTGGGACTGGACACTGTTCCTGTGCTCTTCAGCTCAATGAGTGCTCCACCATTTGAGCCACAGTGCCACTTCCAGTTTTCTGGTGGCTAACTGGAGATAAGAGTCTCACAGACTTTCCTGCCTGGGCTGGCTTTGAACTGAGATCCTCAGATCTCTGCCTCCTTAGTAGCTAGGATTACAAGGGTGAGCCACCAAGTGCCCTGTTAATTTGAAGTTCTTGGGTTGATATTCCTGTGCACTATTTATATCTTTTGCTTTTATTTTTTATCTTTTCATATTATTAAGTGCCTTATAAATAATCATTTTTTTGGGGGGGTCCGGTCATGGGGCCTGAACTCTTGGCCTGGGGGCTGTCCCTCAGCTCTTCAGCTCAAGGCTAGCGCTCTACCACTTGAGCCATGATGCCACTTCCGGCTTTTTTCTTTTTGCTTATGTGGTGCTGAGGAATCGAACCCAGGGCCTCATGCATGTGAGGCAAGCACTCTACCGCTGAGCCACCTTCCCAGCTCTATTTCCACTTCTTGAATAGATGGTAAGGGGTGAGCGACCCCCACCCCCTAAGTTTGTTTTTTCACAGACTGACGGAGTCAGCCTGTCCCTTTATGCTCCTAAATTCTAGGATTAAGCTATCCATGCATCCCTTCTAAGGAAGAGCTGAGGTTAAACCCCGGGAGCAAGCAGCCAAGAGAGCCTGCCCAGCCACAGAAGGGGCAAAGCAGACGCCAGAGTCCATGTCTGAGCTGAGGCTGCTGTGTGGCCAAATGGGGACCACTGCTGGTGGTGATCAGTGACCCTCAAACAAAGTGGTGGACTGATGACTTTGCTCACTGTCCATTCATTTGTAGATGTAGGGTCAAATGGGTGGAGCAGCTGCTGTTGTCCCGGGAGAACAGCGGGTCTGTTCTCTGGAACCGATTGCTGAACCCACTTGTGCTTTGGGTTTATAACCTCGTCCGTAGCGGTAGGTGAGAGGAAGTCCTTTAAAGTGTATGGCTGACTTCACAGCCAGTGGGACAGGCTGGGCAAGGCAGAGGTCGTGTGTGGGTTTACTACAGAGATTGCTCTGGAAGCTTGGCGCAAGCCAGTCTCCTCCTCGGGTACAAAAGCAGGCTGGCAGTCCTGTGTGCACAGGGAAGCTTGACTGTTGCCTCTGTTCTTGTGAGAAGCAAGCCACAACCCAGCCGAGTGGCTGGCTGTGTGAGCAAGTCCCTTTCTCCCTCAGGCCTCGCCTCGCCTAGCCTGCATAGGAAAGCCTGTCTCCAGGGGTTGGGAACGGGCAGCCTTTCACCATGAGACACACCTCCACCTGGGGAAAGAATTGCGAACACATGGAAAGTGCATGTTTACCAGACAGGCCTGTGAGAGTTTTCCTAAACCAGCTGGCAGTGGAGGCAAGAAGAGCGTCCGCCCCTGGCCTCATTGCGCGCATGCCACTGCAGAAAGGGCACAGGCCGAGGAAGTTGCCCTGCAGGGCTTCCTGAGCAGAAGCTTGAGGCTGCTCAAACCCTCCTGTGGCTACTAGCACTGTTCCCCTGGTCCTGCTGTAAACACCAGTTAGGTTCTCTGTTGGCTGATGGGAAAGCTTAAAAAAGGCAGGGCTTGCTACTCGGGAGGCTGAGATCTGAGGACTGCAGTTCAAAGCCAGCTTGGGTAGGAAAGTCTGTGAAGCTCTTATCTCCAATAAACCATCAGAAAACCAGAAGTGGCTCTGTGGCTCAAAGTGGTAGAGCATTAGCCTTGAGCTGAAGAGCTCAAGGACAGTACCCAGGCCCAGAGTTCAAGCCGCATGACGGGGAAAAAATGCAGGTCTTGATGTCATCTTCATAACCTAAGCCTTGAGGAACCTACATTCAGATAGGGTATTTACCAATAAGTGCCTTGTGATTCAGTATTCTCATTTCAAATGTAATAGTGTTTGTTTATGACCAGCCTTCACAAATATAGAAGCTTCCCCTTGAAATAAATGCATTTACATTACAAGGCATCTTTGGCAAGAGTACCAAAATGGTCTCCTGCCTCCTCTGTACCGTGTCGGGTGCCTCCTGACCTGTTGGTTGTGTTTGTGGGAAGGTTGCACTGATGGCTTGGTTGGTGACTGCAGGTTTCTCCTCTGTGAATTTACTTTCTCTTGGTAGTTGAAAAATACCTTGAGGGTGATACTTTGAGGCCAGGTAAATCCTGATTCTCCTTGAAGTTTTGCCTACCAGTTTTAGTATACTTCACAGGATCTCATCTACAACATTTAGTGCTATGGCTGTTGGTGATTCTGGCCTTTTCCCTCTCCTGTATTTATACATTAACTGGGTTCAGCCAGGAGATTTTCCCCTTACTCATTCAGTTGTTTACATACGTGTGTATGAAGCCATGGAGTTAGATATAAATCCTGTGGGTTCAAATATAGTACTGTTACTGTGTGATCATAATCATGAAAGAATGTGGAAAAATCCAAGTTGAGGGACACTCCCATGACATGAAAGTTAGAGGGAAACACTGTTAGAGCAGAGAGGCCAAGCACCAGGGACTCACACCTGTAATCTTGGCTACTTAAGAAGCTGAGATATAGAAGACGGTCATTTCAAGCCAGCCCAGGCAGAAAAGTCCACAAGATTGTATCTCCAATTAACTGGCAAAAAGCTAGGCTGGTGGTATTGCTCAAGTGATAGAGTACCAGCCAAGCGAGCGAAAATCCCTGAGTTCAAACTACTAAGAGATGGAAGAAGATGAGGCAGTAGTAACTAAGACTGTGTCTTACTATGTGGCATTCTAGAACTCATGCAGGCTGAGTTTCTAATAAAGTGGGTGGTGTAGTTACTAATGCTGCTGATAATTGTATCTAGTTATGGAGGGAAAGAAAGACTTTTACAGGATTAGGGAGCACATTATTTTTGTAGCTTTTCTTTGAACTGTTTAAAAAGCCAATTTAAAGAGCAATATTTAGTAAATAATGGGTAATCTTTCATTGTGAAATAAGTTGGCTTTGGTTATGCTACAGTGGATGATTTTCTTTCTTTGGCTCTTCATGTTCACTAATAAGCTTTTGCTCATATTTTGCTTGGTTTACATGTCAGTGTGTAATTATAAATTGGCCAATTCTCTTTCATTGTCCTTTTGTGCTGGTCCTGGGGCTTGAATCTAGGACTTGGGCACTGTTCTTGAGCTACTACTTGAGCTGTACTTCCACTTCTGGCTTGTTTGGGTGGTTAATTAGGGATAAGTGGTTGACAGGCTTTGGGCTGGCTTCAAACCATGATCCTCAGATCTCAGCCTCCAGAGTAGCTAGGATTACAGGTGAGCCACCAGCACCCTGCTGGTGTGTCTATGAAATGGGTCTAACTGCCAGTGGGCTTGGGTATAGCTTAAAAATGATACTATTACGTTTGGAGATGGATTCTCACATCTAACTCCAGGGGGACCTGGAGCTGGTGAACCTCCTGCCTCAGCAGGAGTTCTGCAATTACGAATATGCATTGCATATCTAGCTATGATCGGTGTATGCAGCATTTTGGACTCTTAAATTTACAAAAAAAGAAGTCTGGGGCTGGGAGTGTGGCTTAGTGGTAGAGTACTTGCCTAGCATGCATGAAGCCCTGAGTTTGATTCCTCAGTACCAAATAAAGCCAGAATTGTGCTGTGGCTCAAGTGGTAGAGTGCTAGTCTTGAGCAAAAAGAAAAGCTCAATATCAGTGCTCATGCCCTGAATTCAAGCCCCAGGACTGGTGTGCGCGCACGCGCGCGCACACACACACACACACACACACACACAAATTAGAAGTCTGTACTAAAGGTTGGACCAGTTTGGGGAGAAGAGGCGTGTCTTTTAGTATTTTTCCTTTATTTGTTTCAAAATTTTCCCTTTATTCATTTCTTTCTACAAAGTATGTTATCCAAAAATTTTGCTTATGGTGAACATTTTCTACAAGCCATGGGTTTCCTTTCATTAAAATTCCCCTTAAGCAGCTGTGGGAGCCAGAGAGCACGCGTGTGCCGGCCCATCCTTCAGGGTGGTAGTTAGTGGAACTGTGGCGTGTACATTGCATTGATGATTGGTTAGATCCCAGTTTTCCCTGTGCTCACGTGTGTGTGTGCGCGCACGCACGCGTGTGTGCAATTCCCCATCAGCAGGTGTGCTTAGAGAGCTTCTGAGTGCTGTAAGTTAGACCTGGAGCACTCCCAGCCTGGGATATCTTGTCTGGTGCAGAGTTTGATTGGAGGGTCTGCAGAATCATTTGGGGCCAGAACATTCTATAAACTTCGGTGGGAGTGTTTTCAAGTTTAGTATTACAGCCTTCCTTACATTTTTTTTTTCCTTTTTTTGCATTTAGGAAGAAAAGGCTTCTCTTTTACATCGTACTCAGGAAGAAAGACGGAAAAGAGAGGTAACAACAGCTTTGTGATAATCTTGATAAATGATCATTTACATTTCAGCTGGGTGCTGGTGTCTCACACCTATAACCCTACCCATTCATGAGATCTGAGTTTCAGTTTGAACTATGTAGGAGGGGGCAATCCTTAACTCTTTATCTCTCCCCCTCCCAAAAATAAAATAAAATAAAGCCAGAAATGGAGACATGTTCATACAGTAGAGTGCTAGCCAGGAGGCCCTGGGTTCAAGACCCACTACTGCAGAAAAAGAAGTCTTGGCTTTGCTCTATCTATGTGTACCTTCACATATTGTGGGTGAGGTGACATTGTATCTGTGTGTATGTACTTTTTATCTTCTGCAACATTTCTGGATGTGACACCAAGTATATGTGCATGCAGTTAGAGTTTGCAACATTTGTAACATAATTCTGCACACATGGGTTTTGCAACATTTCCAGATGTGCTCAGTGTTAATTCTGTAACCCTCCAAGAAAAGATAGGCTTGAAGGGCTCAGTCCAGGTTACAGAAGGTTATGGGTTCTTGGTTGTGTTTCTTTCTAATAAGGTTTCTAGATAATGTAGTATAGTGTTCACATTTTATCAAGCAAGGTGTTACAGGCTTGTCACCACAACTGAGAATGAAGAGAACTTCTTAGGGCCTGCTTTTCAAGATAAGAGTTAATGCTTTGTTTTTCTAACAACTCACTCTTGGATTTAGAGCTTTTTGAGAGCTTTACCTGTGTTGGGCAGACAGAGTCCTGCTCTGAGGTGGGTGTTAGTGGACAGCATGCGCTAGTGAGGTTGCGCTAAGAGCTGTGGAAGCATGGCGGCTCTGCCGGGAGCAGCCTTTGAGAAGGGCTCTGTGGACTCATGGAGGGTGAGCAGATGCCCTCTGAAGAGCATTCCTGACTGAAGGAGCAGCAGCAGGGTCAAAACTTGGCTACCTCATCATGGTGGACGCGTGAACCCTGAAGGTTCACTGTGGCCGGGGGCTGTCCTTGCCTGGAGGACACCTGGCCTCATCCCTAGATGCTGCCAGTACTTCTACCGGGCAAACCAAAATGGCAGCGCTCATCACTGTCTCCTGTGTGGAAAAGTGGCCCTCAGTGAAGAGCCACTGCAAGCCAGGGGTCTTGTACTTGCTAATGTTCCGCATCTGTTTTTGGAACATTCTTAGCCATTCTCACTACCCTTCCAGTAGTGCTCTGCTCTGCTCTCCCTCTTCGCAACTCACTCTGAAAACATATCTGTCTCTGGCCCTGTGCCCCATGTATCTCTTAGGCTCCTTCCTTCCTTCCTTCCTTCCTCCCTTCTTCCTTCCTTCACTCCCTCCCTCCTGAAAATTGTATTATTAAGTAGTTGTACAATTCCATAAGTCCAGTTATGAGTACGATGCTTCATGATCAGTGTCATTCCTTTTATTGTTCCATTTTTCCCCTCCCCTCCTTATCTTTAAGTTATGTAGTTCAGTTTTTACATAATGTACATTGAATATACTGACTACTTTTTTTTGCTTACCCCTCTGGGCGCATGCACAGAACAGGAACATCTATTGCACAAGAATTAGATGAATGGTGGCAAGTAGTCAGGGAAGAGTGCTGGTTGGCACAGGGTTTGGACAGGTGGGCGATGATGAAGAAATCCTGAAACTAAATTGTGATACTGGTACATGACGTGGAATGTACTGAAGATGGACTCAGTGGATGGCATGCTTTATTGAATGAATTTTATGGTCTGAATTCTATAGCTAGGATTTTTTAAAACCTGACTAGCTGAAAATCATCTTCACTAATTCGGACCAATTAACTGCTTTCCTCCTTACTCCATTATTCAGGAGGAAAGGCGAAGATTGAAAAATGCAATAATTATCCAGTCATTCATTCGAGGCTACAGAGACAGAAAACAGCAAGTAAGTTTGTTTATTATTAGTTTACATTAATTGTGAGTGTGTATTTCACTGTTACATTTCCACACATTTACAATAGATGTGTGTGTGTACATGTCTATGAATATGCATGTCTTTTAGGTCTAGCTTCCACGTATGAGTGAAAACATAGAATATTTTGTTTTGGAGGCTTGTCTTGCTCAATGTGATATCCTCCAATTGCATCAGTTTTCCAGCAAATAACATCATTTTATCTTTTTTTTAAATAGTTGTGTTTAATATAGTTCTAAAGTTTTCTTATTTTTATTATACAAATGAAATACAGAGGGGATGCAGTTAGTTACGTAAGTCAGGTAAAGAGTACTTTTCTTTTTTTGGACAATCATAGATTATCTTTAAAACTAAGAAAGAACTAGAAAGTCAGCCCATTTTAAATATGGTAGTGTTCTTATTTTTTTTTTTTTTTGGTGGGGCCTGAACTCTGGGCCTGGGCGCTGTCCCTCAGCTCTTCAGCTCAAGGCTAGCTAGCACTCTACC